CCCCCACAGCTGGCACTCTGCTAAATTCCATATGCTGCTGTTTGTCTACCTACCCCACTCCTTTTTCTTTCTGCACCTTCTTTAACTTTATGGCCATTTTTCATGTCTTCTGTGTCCTTTCATGAGAATTTCCTCTACGGCTAGATCAGGGCTTATAGGCGTAGACAGCAGGGTCTACTTCGGCCAATGTAAGTAGAAATGGCTCTATTCCAGGCATTCAATCACTGGGAGGGCCAAAGAAAGTGATTCCAGACTGAATTCCTTGGAACGATGTGAAATGCACACTGTAGAAGTCAATGGTCAAGGAAGCTGCTGCCTTGCCACCCAGTCCTGCTGAGCCAGGATGCCACTAACCCAATCAGCATGCTGCTGCTTCAGCTTCCAGCTCCAAAGCCATGCATCCGTCAACCCTGTCAGGAAGCAGCTGAAATAGGACCTGTTAGTTCACATTTTCCTGGGGGGAAATGAAATTGGTCCCTGTACACAGGGAACAAGGAGAGAACATAAAATATTTAAACTTAAAATAGTGTTGTGAGTTTTGACTTCCTTTTCAATTTTCAACACTTTTTCCCAGCTCTTTAATGTTCTGTTAAAAATTAACCATTAACCCTAGCTGGTTTGGCTCAGTGGATAGAGTGTCACCCTGCGGACTGAAGGTCCTGGGTTTGATTCCGGTCTAGGACACATGCCTGGGTTGCAGGCTGGATCCCCAGTAGGGGATGTGCAGGAGTCGGCCAATCAATGATTCTCTCTCATCATTGATGTTTCTATTTCTCTCTCCCTCTCCCTTCCTCTCTGAAATCAAGAAAAAAATATTTTTTTAAAAAGATAAGCAAGAGAACTTTTGTCTTAGGCATCCTCAAGGTGAGTAGATCTTCATACTGCCCGCCAGAATCTTAAAAGTTTACATAGAGGACTTAACTGGGCTCAGCCACGTCTATTGTCCAGATGGTCTCTACAACACATTGCTCTCTCAAGACTGTGTCCTTGAAATAGCTCCCGCTGTGGGAACAGTGGACAGAACATGCAATCTAAGGGAGGGTGACCAGCTGATGGTTTACCAGAAGTCATGTCCTCTCAGTGACCTCCTCTAACAGGAGCCACATCTGGCGATAGTGCTCCAGGTGCATACCACTTCTATCAGGCTCTGCACCTGCAAAAAATGTTGCCCTGCACCCTGTCTCTCTCCCCCAATGGTCCTCCACCACAGAGCAAAACTTCATGTAAATACCACCCTCCACTAGTTCAAGGGGTCTCATAAGTGCACTGGTGAGGACAATCTTCATCACATCCAGACTGTAGCTGCAAAGGAGTCTGAAAAATGTCATGTTTAGTCTTTCCAGACAAGAGGGGTTGGAATGGATATTAAACAAAATAATTTAGATATTTACTTCACTGACATATTTTAATTGATATTGGTAGCCAACACTTGTTTTCATTGTTGCTTCATCCTTATTTTAAATTGAAAAATTATCTTTTTTTTTGGCAGGTGTTTCAATACTTTATTAGCAGAGTCCGTCAGAAGCTGCACATTGTTCTCTGCATGAGCCCTGTGGGAGAGGCCTTCCGGTCCCGATGCCGGATGTTCCCATCCCTTGTGAACTGCTGTACCATTGACTGGTTTGTCCAGGTCGGTGACTCCCCAGGACTTCTTTCTGAAGTTGGATTTGCTTGATTTTAAAGGAGTAATATGGCACTAGCTTGAAAGCCCTCTAAAAATTTACTCATATGCAAGAGATGACATTGACAATTATCAGACAAAGGCAAAGCAGAATTTATAAAGGGAGAGGAGACTATTGAATTTAGCAATGTAGATGTCAGTGATCATGACAAGAGCTGTTTCAGTAGAGTTATGGGAGATAAGGTTCAATAGAGAAGAGGAAAGAGGAATCTGAAACAATGAGTACAGTAGCACCCCCTTATCCACAGTTTCAGTCTCCATGGTTTCAGTTACTGGGGTCAAGCTCAGTGCAGAAATATTAAATGGAAAACTTCAGAAATAAATAATTTGTAAGTTTTGAATTACATACTATTCTAAGTAGTGTGATGAAATCTCACACCATCCTGCTCTGTCCCTACTAGGACATCAATTATTCCTTTGTCCAGCATATCCACACCGTATACACTACCCACCCATTAGTCACTTAGTAGACATCTCCATTATCAGGTCTACTGTCAAGGTATCACAGTGCTTATGTGTAAGTAACCCGTGTTTTACTTAATAGTGACCCCCAAAGCACAGTAGTAGTGGTGCCGGCAGTTCAGATATGCCAAAGAGAAGCCATTAAGTGCTTTCTTTAAATGAAAAGGTATTTCTATATAAGAAGAAGAAAAAACATAGTATGTATAGGGTCCAGTACTATTCACAGTTTTAGGCATCCCTGGGGGTCTTGGGAGGTATCCCCCATGGATAAGGGGGGATGACTGCCGACTCTTTTAAGACATTTTTCCCCACAGGAGCACCAGGAGATGAGTAATAGCTAGAGTGGTAGGTGTAGTGAAGAGAAGAGTATTTTGAAGTGAGAAATACAAACAGCACATATGTGTGCTGACGGAAATGATCCAGAAAAAAAGAAATATATTGACGGTACAGCAGACAGACTTAAGGGTTGTTAGACCGATGTCTTTGAGTAGACAAGAAGAATGGAATCAAGTCATCAATGAAGGGGCTGATTTGCACAGGGACTTAAGCATGAACTTACCCCAGAGTACCAGGAAGGAAGGTAGAATGTATGAGCACAGATGCAGATGCATGAGAACTCATTGAAGTTCTATTTTCATTGCTTCTGTTTTTTTTATTTTTATTTTTTAGTTATGTGGGAAGCAAGGTCATCAGCTGAAAATGAAGAGAAAAGAGGAAGTATTAACAGTCCGAGAAAGTAGTGTAGGCTGTAAAATGCTCACTTAGGAGAGTACATTAGGGGTGAATTAGAAAATGTAGATTTTCTGGGCTGCACTATGAACCTGCTGGAACTGGTTGCCATGAATTTAAAGTGAGACCAGTCAGCACAGCTGTGTGTTTCTCCACCATGCTCAGCTGTACAGTCACTGGCATGGGGTAACAGAGAGCTGCATTTGACTAAGGTTCAGGTAAGCTCAAAGAAACAAGAGAGGAACAAAGAAGTTGAAGTGAGCAGGACAGCGATTATAATAATGAACCTGAAGTCCAAATTGCATAATAAATCGAGTGAGCTCATAATACATGAAATTTTATTCATGGAATTATCCCAGATACACCTAATTATTTATTCATTAATCAACAAAAACTTATCAAATAATTGCTATCTACCAGACATTGTGCTGAGGAGAGCAAATGCAGACTCAGATCTCCCTCAAATGAACACAGCTGTTCAGTTTATTAAACACTAGGGGCCCAGTGTATGAATTCGTGCACCTTGAAAGGAACTATGGGCCACGAGGCTACAGTGGGCACAGGGGTGGGTCTTGGCCCATCCTCCGCACCCCCACCAGGCCCCTCCCACCGTGGCCCCCCGGTACCCTGTCTGCTGGCAGCCCTGCTCCCGCCAGTGCTCCCACACAATGATGGCACAGGCCCCGCTCATACCCACTGATGACACGGAGCAATTGGGGCTGGCACCAGCAACAGGTGCGAGCGGGGCCAGCGCAGTCAGCGGGGCCAGCACAATCAGCGGGTGCGTGCGGTGGCTGCCAGCCCTGATCGCCCCTCAGGAACAGGAGGAGGTGGAGAAGCTCTGAGGGGCGGTCGGGGCTGGCAGCCGCCACTTGCACCTGCTGACTGCGCCAAGTGATAGGGGCCAGTGCCAGGCACCAGCAATGGGTGCGAGCACCAGGCAGGACCTCAGCATGCAGGAGCAAAGAATGTTCAGTAACCACTAGAGGCTTGCCCTGTTGACAGTGACCGGTGCCCTGCCTTGGTCTGGCGCCCCCGCTCAACTGCTCCACCATCCCACTGCAGCCAATGCCTACAATGTTTCACACTCTGCCGCCTGCTGCCGATGCCCACCATGTTCCACGTGCACCCCTGGTGGTCAGCACACATCATAGCGACCGGCTGTTTGGTTGTTTGCTTGTTCTGCCGTTCGTCTATTTGCATATTATGGTTTTATATATAGATCATAGACATGGTGGTCAGCACACATCATAGCTACCGGTTGTTTGGTTATTTGCTTGTTCTGTCGTTCATCTATTTGCATATTAGGGTTTATATATAGATCATAGACTTGAGTAGGAGTAAACCAGGTGAAATATACATTTTTCTTATTTGTTAGGTCACATACTATGGAAATGAGCAACAGATTTTCCAAACTGTGTCTTTATTTACAGTGGCCCAGAGAAGCGCTTCTTTCTGTATCAAAGACATTTTTCTCACATATTGACACCGGAAATGATGAACTAAAAGAAAAGCTTTCCCTCATGTGTGTGAATGTTCACTTAAGTGTCTCCAATATGGCAGAACGCTATTACACAGAGCTACGGAGACGGTACTATACCACGCCCACCTCCTACCTGGAACTCATCAATCTCTACCTGACTATGCTCAGTGATAAAAAGAAGCAGTTGATTTCAGTAAGTTGAACACCCTGGCTAGTGTTGCTAAATGGTTTGAGCACCAGCCCTCACACTGAAGGATCTCCGGTTTGAGACCAAGTTAAGGGCATGTACCTGGGTTGCTGGGTCCATCTCCAGCCCTGGTCAAGGTGCGTGCAGAAGGCAAACAATGGATGTGTTTCTCACACATCAATGATTCTCTCTCTCTGTCTCTCTCCCCCATGCTTCCTCCCTTCCATTCTCTCTAAAAAAATCAATGGGAAAAAATATCCTTGGGTGAGAATTAGCCAAATATAAATATATATGTAATCATTTTAAAGAATTTCTATTACTTAGCCCGGCTGGTATGGGTCAGGGGTTAAGCGTCATCCATGAACCAGGAGGTCATAGTTCAATTCCTGGTCAGGGCACATGCCCAGGTTGTGAGCTCAATCCCCAGTGTGGGACATATAGGAGGCAAGCCAATTAATGATTCTCTCTCATCATTGATGTTTCTCTCTCTCCCTCTTTCTTCCTCTATGAAATCAATAAAAATACCTTTTTTTAAAAATGTATTGCTTGAACTCAAAACTTTTGCCAGAATGAGTGGAAGGTCTATGTGCCATCTTACCTGCTGGAGCCCTCTCCATCCTGACAAGTGCCCTTGACAACCTACAATATGACAAAAAATTGTTTCATGCTGTCGGTCCACGAGTCTTCCCCTTCCTTAATATTTATGCTTTGTCTTCTATCATTTACATGAATGTCATTGACTCAGTAGAATGATATGGACATTGTAACAGTATCAAAGTTAAGCAGAGAGCTAGTCACCAGAAAACTTTCGTTAGGCAACGGAGATGGGGATTTTGTCATCTAATGTGCCAGTAGTTCTTATGGAGAGTAGAGACTTCATTGTTAGGCAGACTGTGTACAACCCATGCTCTGCCTCTTTCTTCCTACACAACCTTAAGCATGTTTTACAAATTCTCTAAGTCTTAGTAGAAAATAAGGTTAAACATATCTCTACCGACCTCTTGTATTGTTGTGGAATTTAAATAAGACTGTGCAGTACTTGGTATATGATCTGGTGCATATGAGGTACTCAGAAAATAGTGGCCGCCGTCATCATCATTGTCATCGTCATCATAGAACACATTCTCTGCCTCTTTCTTCCTACACAACCTTAAGCATGTTTTACAAATTCTCTAAGTCTTAGTAGAAAATAAGGTTAAACATATCTCTACCGACCTCTTGTATTGTTGTGGAATTTAAATAAGACTGTGCAGTACTTGGTATATGATCTGGTGCATATGAGGTACTCAGAAAATAGTGGCCACCGTCATCATCATTGTCATCGTCATCAGGCTATTCACATGACCTAAAATTTTCAACACAATAAAAATGGAAGCATTTACCATTTATATATTTTTAATGTTTTTCAGTGGATTTTTACCTGGTAAATGTAAAAGAACTTGGCAGAGATTTTTGAAACATGTCAATCTCAACCAAGCTTTCTGATTCACCTCCAAAAACGTTATTCCTAGGTGTCTTCTGTACCAGATGCCACCCCTTCCATCCTAGTTAAAAGTTTTCAACCACTGAGAAGTAGGGTTTAGATCCACCAACCTAAGTGCAGTACCTAGGACACTGTCTCCCTGGGGGTTCTCAGCCCTGCTGACCATCCTGAGGAAACAAGTGTTAAAAAAAACAAAACCTTCAAGGCTTTGGAGGCTGAACATTGTCTCGAGAGAAAGGGTTTATTGAGCCACATCCTAGCCAGAAAAAGAACCAAGTCCCGGAAGCTGCATTCTACACCACCAGCAGCAGGGCTGGGTGGAGAAAAGAATATATATCCACTGTCCAGGGGCTCACAGGGCTCTTTTACTAATATACAATGAGTTTGGAAGGAAAGGCGTAGTTATTTTAAAAGAATTTACATTGGCTACAGATAAGGGGATTGTGGGAAGATGAAGCTGGGAGAGTTCTGGGACGGGTGACTTGTACATCAAAAAGAAGTATTTAATGCTTTGGGACTATTTTGGGCAATAGTCCAGAATGTTCAAGCATAAGCAAGATATGCTGGTGCCTGGGAGCTGCCTAAACAGTCGCTGAAACAGGCACACAGAAGTCTATTAAAAGTTTCGACATACTGTCAGGAATATGAGCAGTCTGTTATTAGTGTAGACCCATAGCTACTAACTGATTAACTTTCCTTGTCTCTTCCTCCCACCCTCCAGTCTGCTGTAATTTAATTTAGGGCATCTCAGAATTTTTCTCTTGTCCCAGCTCTCAGAACTGCGGCCTCCAGGAATTTCTACCTGAACTTGTCCCTCATTCATTCAACATGCTACCAACCAACCACAGAAAATAAAAATAATACATGGTGGGCCCTTAGTGAGCCTACAGTCCAGTAATGCCCCACTCCAGTGGTCCAGGGGCATGGATTCAGACCTACTGTGGTGAATGTCAAGGCCATTTCCTAGGGTTCTATTCCCTGAAGATTTCTTTACAGTCAAAAATTTTTTATTTACCGTATTTGCCGGCGTATAAGACGGTTTTTTGGCCCTGAAAAATATGCCTCCAAGTGGGGGGTCGTCTTATACGCCAGGTACACTTCAGATAGACTGCCCATAGTGCTTGCCCCGTGCCATAGTGGCCTCCCGATGCCCGCCCACTTCATTCCACATACCGTTCCGGCATCAGCAGCGCTGCTGGGTGTATGCTCGGCTGATATGCGATTTTGCT